ATCGCACATATGCCCACAGCATTTGTCATTCCATTTTGCTGACCCAAAAAAAAAAAATCCAAAAATGATGTCCTACAAATTGCGACGAACCGTACCAGGCAAAATTGCTAAAAAAAATATATATATAGGAAAACAATTGCATATTTTTGGAAGCAGTCAAGTGTCTCGTGTGGCACTTGTATTTGGCTTTTGGGCAAAGTTTATATATTTGTCGATGGCAGTGTGCGGCAAATGTTATATTGATGGACGCGCTTTTTGATTTGTTGTTTGTGTCAATTTGGAATGGCGTAAAAAATATTTGTTTGATTTTATTGATTGTCATGTGAGCCCATATTTATAATGCGGTCAACAAAAGTTTTTATTATAGTTTTTGGCCGACAAAAAGTCATCAAAACAACCAAGGGATATTTATTGATTTATTGCACGACTTATTCGACAGTATTACATGGGAGAATAAATTAAAAAAGTTGCTAAAAATTCCATGAGCTATGAACAATAGCGCAATGCAAGCGTATGCTGAAAACAGATTTAAAAATGATTTTCATGAAAATGACAACAATTCGTATACGCAATGTGCGTTAAGTAACATAATGTTGCAAGCGACCATAACTGTTGAATTAGTCGGCAATTTGCTTAAATGGATTTCGGGCACAGCGATTAAAATTGCTTTTAATTTTGATAATTAGCTTGAATAGAAATGTCCGCATCAATGGATGCCAATCAATTATCGATAATAACATCAATTAAGTCGGAAATGCGTTTCGACTTGAAGCTAAATCAATTTGTCATCAAATTACAAATGCTAGCCCCATTTTGCATCGAATTTCTAAACGAATCGTATGAGCTTTGAGTTCCATCTTTAATTACAATTAAATCAATATGCTAGAACACAAATGAAATTGCCAGCAAACATTAGATGGCACTTCCTCTTCCTGTTCGATTAACTCGCATTTCCGGCCTGCATATTAAAGTTATAAAATTGAACAGAGTCAGCAAACCAGAAATCAACTGAAATATATATATATATAAATGCATATGTGTGGGGCAGCTCAACTTTTTGGACAACAACTGATGCCCCGATCTGCTGTCTGCCGCTATGCCATAGAAAAATTGTAAATTAGAATGTGAAATTGTAGTTTCAAGGCAGCCAAATAGTTTGCCCTCCGGCAATCCAAAGCGGAAATGCAAGCTGGGCAGACAGGACAGCTGGACTAAAAACTGGCACTGGGGCAACGGACACGGTTTGTTTGGGGCAGCAGCTGCAACTACATGACGATGGTCAGTGAAAAATCGACCGCAACAAAACCATAAAACCAAAAGCAAAACGCAAACTCCAATTGCAACTAATTTCTATTTTATGGCCCCACACACAAAAATCAACCCAAAAAAAATGAGAGAAACCAAAAAAAAACTTTTGTTTGCGCTGTTTTGCCACATTGACCGCGTGGCTGAGTTTTCGATATGCTTTCAATTTCCTTGCGGGGTCAAATCACAAATGCCACAGCCCTTGTGTTATATATTTATATGTAGAATGCTTATATCCTGTAATCATTTAAATTAGTAAAGGGGTATATCGATTGTTGGGACAAATATATCAAATGTTGTGTAATATTTGGTCTACCCATGCATGCCCATCTCTCGCTTCATTCATTCTCTCAGTCTTGTTATTGTGAGAACTAAAACTAGTTCTAAAAAATGCATGAGTTTATGCTTGGGTAAAATTGTTGCAGCTATAAATAGGCAAACTGCTAGCCAGTCGCAGTGCGGTGCTCTACTTAAATGTTTGTTAAGTAATAAATATAAATAAAATATTTATATAAATATCTAATAATAAAAATAATAAGCTTTATGATGTTAATCATGATAATTATGAACATCATCATAATGTTAATGATAATGATATATTAAAAATGTCATGGACAGAAAATCGTATAACGAGCTGATAATGGTAGAGTTAAAGAAATCAGGGTAAATTCTAGTTGAGCAGCCCTGGATAGAACCCACACAGTTACGCATATCATATATAAGTTTTACATCATTAGCAAAAAAAAAACAGTATAAAGTTTCCTAAAAGTTACACAATGTTTAAATGGATTGAGCTGCAGCATCATGAACTGTCTGAGCTCAGCTGCGTAGGAGTAACTCTTATGTGATATATGTCCATGGCTCAGTGCAGTTGATGTGCGCACATCATGTCTGGCTGCATAATGTTGAATTAATGTCTTCAACTTAATGCTGGCAGCTTGTGTTTGTATTTAAAAGAAGTACACATAATTATCCTGCACAGATGAATAAAGGTTTGACAAACTCTTTTTTAAATTTGCTCGCAGTCAACTTTGCTCAAGGATAAAGATAAGCGAAATGAGTAAGTGCGTTGGTGTAACATAACTGAGAATCAGAGTTGATTTCGAATAATAGTAACAGAATGGCGAGAGCAATTTATGAGCTGATTAAATGCATCTATAAATCTAGAGCAAGGAACAAGAGGCACGCAAGTGACCATAAAACAAAGCAAATGAAGTCTCAGCTCTCATTAATTAGATACTAAAGTGAATTTAAAATGTAGTCATGCATTTTTCCAGCTGGCTGTCTGCATTTCTTAGCTGCTGCGCTGTCGGGCAGTGCAGGGTCAGCAAATGAGGCGCTTAACTGAATGACGCATAGCTGTTGGCTGCCACACTCGGCGTATAATTAATTTTAAATGCAAGTGAGTGTGTCTTCTCGCACACACACACAACCGCACACAAACACATTTGTCACACAAACATTTGTCAGTTGATTGCTGTCCTGTCTCATCTGTTCTGTTGCAGCTAGCAATAGTTCTCTCTGAGTGCTGACAGTTCTGCGAGCTTTCATTTGTATTTACAACATTTAACATGGTCATATTTATTGTTTAATTACAGTGCCAACTTTGAAATTAATTTAACAAACATCAGCAGCACAAATGTACATATTGTGAACTGAGTAATTAACTGATTCTGTTTAATTAGCAATTGTTGATCAATGCATTGCGCTCGCCAGTTACCAGTTGCGAAAATGTTAAATATTTAATATCCTTTGCAGTGCGCTTTCCAATTAAAATAATTGACTATGCTGTGTATTATTTGAGCGGACAGTGGAAATTATTATTATTTAGTTTTTCGCGTTGGCATTTATTTAAATTTAAAAACCTGACCGCGCTTCTAGGCATCCAAATCATAAAAGCCTTTGGATATCATTGTAAAAGACAGACTCTAAAAAATTCACTCTATATGCGATAGCCAACAAAATCGAAATGACCAACTGCAGTTGTATGAAAAGCAACTACTAAGCACACTTTGTATAGAAATAAAAGTTGGAGGATAAAATGTTTTATGTCCGCTCTGCACGCAATGGAAATTGCAAGTCAGGCAAAGCGAACAAGGAGAATGTTGCGCACTGATGGTAAACTTGACAAGATGCCAAAAACAGCGGAAAATGTTGTGGCCACAATATAAAAAGGGGCCTATGTGGGGCGTTGCTGTAGGCGTGGCAACTGTTGCCGAGGGTGGATTGTTAGGTGTTGCTTAGATAAACTGACATGATTTAAATGGCAGAAAAACTTTTTGGAGACTTGACAAGACACCTGGCACAAATGTAAAAAAACTCTCGTACCCGCAGACACACACACACACACACCAATACAGTCGTATGTGTAGTTGGGACATTTTCCAACATGGCAACTGTCATCTAACGTTTGTCATGTGCTTTTAGCATTGTGTCTGAGTTCCTGTTCCACTCTTATCAAGTTGCTGTTTGTTGATTGAATAAACAGGCACAAGCTGTAAGTGTATGTGTGTGTGTCTTTGTTCTGTTCTTGTTTTGTATGTGGGTGTGTGTGTGTGTGTTAGACACACATACGTCTGCTCAGTGAAAACTTTTTTGACATGGCCCCCGACACTGGGCCAGTCTAACTGAGTTTTCCATATTTTGTGCGTGCCACATGGAGAGAAGTAGAAAAATAATATTTACTTTCTAGCCGAAATTGTCAGAAAGCCTTTCGGTTTGCCAAAGTCATGCGGGCTGAAAGCCAAACCGAAATGAAAAATGGTCAAAATAGTTGAAAATCTCAATGGAGTCAGTTAATAAATCATTGAAATTGGCCTTTACGGACAGTAATATGTCAGCAAAGTCATCACAAATAGTAGTTGATATTTGCTTAAATGCATTTTTACGCATCAGACTCAATATTTGCGTGGCACTTATGTTACGTTTCGATTAATTAAATATTCGCTCTGGATGTGCTGAATTGCTTTAATTTGATATATGTATACTCTACGTATGTGAAATCGCTTTGTTAATTTGAATTAAAGGTCAAAGTTTTTAGTGATTTATAGTTCAGTGAGTTTTCTGTAATTTGCAGCTTTTTGTTTTTCTGAACATTTTTTCAAGCATTGTACAGTTTTTGCCACCCTTGTTGAGCATTGACCCAAAACAAGGATACCGCCCTGTTGCTGTCCAGTCCGATAGCAGGTTCTCGTCTAGTCACAGTCGTACAGCTGCCGTTTCATTATCCTGCCTACCTTTTTTGACAGTCTTGTTAGGCCGGGGGACTAATGATGACAAATGTATATAAAGCAAAAATAGCAGACGGCCATTTCGGTGGGTGCCTGGACCGCGCTTCAAAGGTCAGACGGTCAAAATAGTCGCATATGTACGTTGCGACAGTCGACAGTGTCCAGCTGTCGGCTGGTCCACTGCTCTACTCATTGTGTCTGCATGCAAATGACTTTATTTGAATTTTAAATGTGTAAATTGTGCTCGTGTTGCTTGATTTCTCCGGTCCGTTCTCACAGTTTACGACCTGGCCGTTTGTCACTGATAACGGCGCAAGTGGAGGACTCCGGCCAGACACGACCGAATGAAAATTGCACTGGCATGGCAATGGAACAATGGAACGCAATGACAACAACGTTGCTGCCAACAATGGTAGCCCTCCACCTGGCGCCAGCTCGCAAGGAGATATAATCATTTCCGTTGCCGGCCCACGTACGTCTTTTATCTCTTTCAAATTTTCGTTATTGTTATGCGCTTTAAAAGGTTTTCTTGATAATGGAGCCGCAGAATATGAAAGTGAAGAAAAAAGAAACAGAACTGTTGACTCACCTGGTAATTTCCGGCAGATGAAATTCTTTCCATCGTCAATGGCGTCAACGGCGTACAGTGCGTATACTTAACACACACATATACGTGGCGCGTGTAAAATAGCTATGGCTTCGCGCTGAATGTGCCGTGCCACGCCCCTGGCACTCATCACCCTTCATCTGCTCGTGACAGGCTCTTAATTAATTTCAAATTAGTTAAGCGCCTTCAACGCAAATTTTAACTATTCTCGAGCTGTTTTTGGTTATGGATTCCTCCTGCGGCAAATTTATTAACACGCTGCCGCACATTAAGCTTGGCAACACGCAACCAACTAAAAACTAATCGCAAAAGTTGCGACGAACACATAAATTTCGGTTTACTTTCCATTCTTCACTCCTTTCCATTTTTTTTTTTTTTGTGTTAAGGAAGCGACCCAAAACAATACTATATAAATCACATAATTTAGTCAAGCCATCATATTGGAGTCCTTCACAAAAAAAAAATCAAATAAAATCTTGTACTTTTCATGGTCCGAAAGGAGTTTCGAAATATGCGCTTGGATGAACCGTGTTATAATTGCCGAAGCTTTTAAGTTTTCGCTATTTTTTCTCGTGTTGAGTTGAGTAAGCAGTAGCATATTGAAGCAGCTTGCAAAGTTTTGACAATTTCAATATTTAGCTCAGTGGAAGTTGAATGTCTTTTACTGCAGACTGCAAAAGTTTTGCCAACTATTAGCCAAATCGCTTCTGCTAAGCGCCAATAAGCCGAATAACTTGTAGCTCCTGGCGCTGCTGTCGCTCCTTCCGGCCCCCGTTTCGGAGAGCTCGGTTGAAGAATTACGACGCATCGGAGAATTTATGATCCATTGAATGGGCTGCAGCGCAGAGGCGGCTGCGGTACCAAATCACAAGAGCTAAGACCAAATGCGGAAACCTAAAACCGCTCAGGCGCTGAAATCGTGTGCGTGTAAACATATTGCCTGCCTTCGTGGATATTTACGGCAGTGTCTGCTCACCTGTGTGTCATTGATGTACGGCTGGCGTATGCAAAAGATAACCATGTTGGCCAGATGCACGGGCGGGCGTGGGCGATCGGGGGTAGCCGTGCTAAATGTCATGCGGTAGGCATGAAAAATTGCAAATTAACTAAAATTAATGGCAGACCATGTGTAAATTTATTAAAATTGATACGCTGAGCCAGGCGCGCGAGCTTACCAACTTCATTTACGAGGATTTATGCGGTGCCCTAATCAAATAAACAGCACAGCAGCGCGTGTGCGCTTTTGGCCAGTTTAGTATAAAAAGCAACTTATATATCAATCAAAAGTCGAATCGATACGACTTATCTGAGCACAATTCGGAGCCACAATTCGACTGTTGATTGAGTGACCTGCTCTGCGTCCCATACAACTGCCTCCAATATATATATGTATATATAAATATATATGTATATGTTTTGCAGCTTATGTTATCAATATGGGCATTAGCTTCGACTGTTGTACCACGTGCTCCAAGCCCCACAGAAATTCACATTGGTCGGGCGTTGAAGTTTTCGTTTCAGCGATTCCTTTGCCGTATTTTATTTATGGGTTCAATTTGCTTGCAAGTAATTAAGCCGAGTTTGTCTGGATTAGTAGCGAACACTGAAATTGCCAAATGCCTGTCAAAATGGCTGAGTGACAGCTTAGTCTAAGGACTGTGGTATCAATTTTGAAGGTATCAATGTGTATTTCGGGCGCACATTAACCTAAGACATAAACTTATTAGAGGCCGGCTGTCATGCCTCGAGCTAAGCTCGAGTAGAATATATTTTTAAGCCCTGTCACAGCCAATGCCTAAATTTAATTCAATAATTTTGAAATTGATGAAAAATTCTATTTCCGATGCAGATGCAATGTCCTTGATGGGTAAATCAAAATCGAGACAAATTTTATGTTAAGAATTTATTATTTATTTGTGTTGTGTCGGCTTTTATCTTACTGATTAATGTTTGTATTTATAAGTTGTATTGATAAAACCCAAATATACTTAAAAACTAGACTTAAGACCGACCTAACGCTCTCTCTCTGCTTGTCAGGCTGGCCTAGTGCCGACGCTCCCTATTGATGAATTGAAATATGGAACCGATGTCGTCTTGCGAAGCGATATTAGACTAGAAAAGGTTGAGTTGAGGGGCTCTAGTATGGTGTCAGATGCTGCCTTTTTTCGTGCAGCCGTCTTCTGCTCTTTGGCCATTCGATAATCTTCCCATTCGTTCGCAATGCGTCCCAATACTTCCTCTCCTTGTACCAGGAAGGGCCGTCCATTGCCTTGCTCGTACGCCTGCACTAATTCCCTAAGTTGCTGCTCGATTTTAGGTAGCTTGATGCTAATTGTCTTGCGCTCTCGCTCCTCCCGCAGCAGAGCGCCACCTCGATTATGATAGCGATTGGGCTTCTTAGCCTTCTCCTCAAGCGCCTCCATGCGTGTCCACAGTTTCACACGTTTGGCGTACATCTCGAAAATAGATTTATTTGAATTGTAATAATTCTTAATTTCCTTTAACTGTTCCTCTAGTAAATCCAGTAGTTCTTCGGTGCAACAATCTTTTTGATAATTTCGAACACTTGGATATTGTAAGGTGAGATCACACCATTCATTAATCTCCGTGTGTACTTGATCGATGAGAACTGACAGATTCGCCGTACGTATTTCTTCGCAGCGTTGCACCGCCTGGCTAAGCAGTTCATAGTTGTGCGTCGAATTGTCCGGCAGCTCACACAATTCTTGCATGGCCAATACATCGATAAGACCCAACTTCGACAGGCTCTGTGATAGTGAGGCGAGCTTATTTCGCATCTTATCCAATGACTTGTTCCACTCCTGCAGTCTCCTTTTGGCGCATGCTTTGTCACTTCGCCGCTGCAGCTCCTCTGTTAAGTGGATCATTAAATAGTTGAGCTTGAATTGCTGTTGCGATCGCAGCCTGCCAACCGGCTCCGCGGACGACTCTACAGCCTTGCTGAGCTCCATGGCTAACTCTTTTGCCTTGTCCAGTAATACTCGAATATCCATTTCAAACGTGCGCTGCATCTCTTCCCATACCTCGCAAAGCGTATCAACACTTATCTTGTTGTGATCTGCATCCCCCATTATTCTATGTTATCGTTCGATACGATGTGTTGTAAATTTTTAAAAGTTAAACTGTTGAAAGATAAGTCAATGTTGTGCATTAGACATATTAAAATTATAAAAGAGCTCAAGCCCGGTACCCGATTTTTACTATGAGAACTTAATAGTTCGTAATTCGCATTTTCAATGGGCTCAGTACACAAAAAGTAACGAATATATTAAAATAAAATATACAAAATATATCAGATATCAGATAATTTCGAAACCCTAACAGAGTTTATAAAGGGTTTTTAAATGGTTTAACCTGCTTTATCGTCTCCATGTGCCCTTCTCTTTCACATATACAAATTTATGTTTATCTTGATTTTCATTCGTCAAGCCGGAAACACAAAAGCTGATATTAAAAACAACTCACCAACTGCAATTAAACCGTAAAGTGTCAGCCATAAAATAAAACGCAGGTAATAATGCTCAGCTAATAGAAAAATATAATTTTTATTCAAAGTGGCCAAGCGACTAACTGTAATAAAAAGGACAATCAAAAGTTAAGAGCATATAAAACGCACACCCACACAACCACACACACATCAAGCACTACAAATTATTCAATTCAATTGAAGTGAAGACTGCATTTGGCAGCCAAGTGGATTACGTATCCACAGCTCTTTTTTCTGCAGCCTGATGCGGTCGGCGAGCGCCAAAGTGACGTCTATGATGGACGTACATTTCAACCTATACGGGCCGAGAGCTTGTGGCAGTGATTTAAATGCGCACCGAAACAAAAAGAAATCGCAAAAACTATGCGTCCAATCGAATGCCAACCGCGAGCGTAATTAATGTTGAATAAAGTTGCGCAGCATCCTTTTATCAGCAGCCAGAGCAATTGCAAAGGACAGCGCGAAAGTGGTTAGAGATTTTCCAGCCAAATTGAATATTGCTCGCTGCACACATGCCCTTCTGATCAAATTGAAGCACTGAAATTAAAGATACACTTACTTTGACTACAATAAATAAATCACATTGTAATGAGTGCTTATCAAGCTAAATTATTAAATAAATCTCCATGACGTTCCCTAATGGCTTTCAGCTAGCAAACCTCTCTCATAGAGCATACGCTTGGCCAAAAAAATGAAATAAGTGAATCTCAATGGTTACATTGTGCCCTGCTTTTCTGGTTTCAAATTAAGTGTTTAGGGTTTTTTTTGTCGAGTCGCACATATTGTCGAGCTGAGGCTGTGTCGATTGTTGTGCGGAAGTCTGCCTGCCTCCCGCCTCACGCTAATGAACTTCCGCTGTCAAATGAAATGCTTACCATGCAAATCGTGGCATATCGAATAATTGAACTCCCGCCGCAGCATTGTTATTATCATTTTCATTTTGTGCTTCCGCTGCCGGCACGGATTTCGTTTTCCATTCTTCCATTTGCTTTGCTGTTCGTGCTCCTGTTGCTGTACAAATTTCAATGTGTGGGGATCGCACATGTTTCACATCCGTTAACACCATTTTCTTAACTTGCCCGGCCAAGTAGGCAACAGTCAGTTCTTTCCTTTCTATTCTTCCTCATTTTTTTTTTGCTTTTTTTGCACGCTCAGTGCAAATTGCGCACATTTAAATGCAAAAACCGTCGACAGTTGCGTTTATAGGCGGCTAGGTGTTCATGATTGCTATGCCAAGCAGCTGGCACGCCCCTTTTTGGGTTATTTACAGCTGCGCGTGAGTTTTCATTTGCTGTCTTCTGCGTATGCTGGAGTTTTTACGTATACGTTTTTCCTCTTGCCGGATTTATATGCCAAAGATTTATGTCACATGCAGGCAGAGTAGCACGCACACACCTGTACCCCTGTAAAACTGTACACCTGACTGTGTGAGTGCTCGTACACACTGTCTGTGTGTTATGAATATGCATGTGTTCATTACGCTAGATTATTGTTATATCAGCGGAAACGGTGCACAGCTTTGACTGCGTAATGAATACCATTTGAATATACTCAAATTATTAAGCTCTAGCTGCGCTCGCCCCTGCACTTAGAGGAGCTTCTTGCTAGTGGACAATTTATTTTAGCAGCAGCACCATAGAACAGAAACAGCAAATGCCGTGTGAAATAATAGTTTGATTCAATGAGCAGTTTTCCTTTTGAGAGCATTATTTTGTCAGGCTGCGTTTATTTAACTTAACAAATATCCTAATGAAAACGTCATAATGAGATTAACATTTTCATAGATACAAACTGTGAAATTGTATAGTTAAAACTCTACTAATACGGGCCATATGTATTATATTTTATCACAAGCTTGTGGCAAATGTGAAAATTTAATTTATTGTCAATTGAACATACTGTAAAAAGTTTTAATTTTATATAAATATATATAAATATATATATAATATATATATATAAATATATATATGCGTCGTTTATTGTAAATTGAAGCGAATTGTGAATTTACGGTAAACTGCATTCACATTTTTGTAATCATTGATGCGGGCAACGGTCGTGAGCCGGGTTCATTTGGCAGCTTAGTGCCATTTTTGCATTTCCGCTTTGACCGCTCGTGGAGCGTCGATTTAATCTGGGCTTGGGCAGCAACAACGATGCCATCGCAGCAACAATTATGCCATGCGTAGAAATTCTCTGAAAATTTCTCATTCATAGGGCCGAGCCCAGTGCAGCCGCAAGAGCCCGTTTGCAACTGTGTTCGCAGTTCTTGCTCTGGCATAATGAAAGCGCGGCACGGTTGACATCCATTTGCCATGGCTATGGCCCAGGCGGATGCCACTTCCACATTCCCGCTGCAATTGCCAGAGCCAAGAGCAACCACATCGATGAGGACAATGACGACAACAATACGCCGATTGCCGCTGTGATTAACTGCATCGCAGTTGCCCATTTCGGGTTTTAGCTTTTAATTCTAAACAGCAGAGCGCTAATTCGAAACAGTTCTTGTTGAGGTCGTCTCTTGGGCATGCTCGCAGCTGACTGACTCTGGGCCCAGAAAACTTTCAACTTGCATGCGCTGTACCCGAATCTAACTTTAAACTTGTAAATAGAGAACTCAAAGTGTTCTGATCTGTAAATAAAAGTTGGAGAAGGAATTTATTGATTGAAACTTACTTGAAAGGTCTTGCTTCGTTGTAAGCTGACGACATTTAATCTGCTCATTTTCTAATTGCCTGAACAACATGGAACGATATCAAATTAGATCCAGCATGAAATCAAATGAACTGTCTAAACAAGCTGCTGCTCCGCTCCGATTGACAGGCAAAGTTCGAACAGATGCATGGAAACTGACAGTAAGTGTAAGCAAATGTTCTGGCACATCATCTGTGCAGCAGGCACTCACACACATTAAATCAACGAGTCCTGGCCCGGCCCAGCCCAACGTAGGTAAACAGCGTCTGTGCCCAAGCTCGTAACCTGAACAGCTAACTCGCATAATGTCAGGACTCCGTGTACTACTTATTATGGAAGCATTCGGCTGTAAAAGTTCTGCAGGTGTTTGTAAGCAAAGCAATCACAAATTAATATGCCAGGAGGCACACTTAAAAGACCATTCCAACACACAGGCCATGAATATCTTTGCAGAGCATACATAATCATAAAACAAGCTCAATATGCCTGGTATACATACATATATATCTCGTACAGCGCACAAGGCGTATCTTTCATTACTTGAGTAACTGTCTCCTCTGCCACTTACAATGCATCTGCATAGACTTTGATGTTCTCCACGCTTCTTGCAACGGCTGTCAGTTCTTTGTGCCATAAGTCGATTAAGTGCTGTACATTTAAGTTGATTTGTTTTTCAATTTATAAACCTAGTTGCTGGAGCAGTTGTGCAGCAAACAGTAAGTAGCTTTTTTGGATTACCAATTAACAAATGTAACTATGTTAAGTACACAATTAAAGCCAAAAAATATTCGTGCAATTATTGCAGTTAGAAAAAATTTGAAACTAAATTCAAATGGAAACTTTCCAGCAAATGCAGCACAACAAAGACAAAAACTCCAATATGCAGTTGTTGCTCATTTATTTGTTTTTTTTTTTTTATTTATTCCTTTGTTTGCAATAATAACAACTTTTCGAAAGGCAAACAAGCCAAACGGAATAACCGAAACACGATTGTGTGCTGCAAAGCTCTAACCAGAATGAACTTTGTGTGTGCTGTGTGTGTTGTGTGTGTTGAACAGGTTAAATAGCTTTCTGTGAACATTATTTAGAAGAGCTCGAAGCAGTCTATTAAGGTCAGCCTTTATTACGCATGCCAAATGTCAGGATAAATAATTTAATTTTTAATTAAAATGAATATACATTTGCAAATGAATATAAATAGAACACATTAGCTGTAATCATATTAAAGCACATTTGAGAATTGTTAAAATAATAATAGATAATTGATTATGGTAGAAATCTGAATATGCTCTTGCCACAATTAGAAACAGGTCCAATTGCTTAAAGCAAATAAGCAAGCTAATAATGCAGGTTTATTATTCGAAAAGAAAATGCAGTCTTCATATTTCGACTGCGCCAACAAAGTGGCCAATAAAGGGCAACAGTTTATGTGGGTTAAAAAGAACGTGGAGTAGGTTAACATAAAATACAAACAAGTAAACGATAAAACCACTTAAAAAGCAACCAACAGACAAGACGAACACCAAACTGCGAGTCACCCACATAGTCGTGAGTATAAAAACTAACACGCAGTATACCAGAACTGCAGGAAAGGCAACAACAACAACAACACACACGCCTGCCCGCCAGCTCGTCTGTGTGTCTGTCTGTCTGTCTGTTATATAAAAAGCAAAATAATTGGCGTGTCAGACATTTTGTTACGCCCAATTTAAGTGCTTCCGCCTTTGCATGGCAGCCAAGCTCGTTCCAGCGGGCTGCAGGAGCACGCAGCTGGCAACTGCACTCACTAGACTAGACTAGAGTAGACCAGACGAGAGATGAGATGAGATGAGATGAGATGGGATAGAGGGTCGAAAGTCACACCAAAATCGTTGAGGGAATTCAATTTCTGTA